GAAGGTACTGCCATGTGGCACAGGGTAGATAAGAAATGGGTCAATTTAAGTTATATGAGCTAGCTAAAAACAAGTCTAAGCTATTGGCTGAGCATTTATAATTAATATTAAGTCTCTGAGTGGTTATTTGGGAGCGACTGCTGGGACACAGAGAAACTCCAACGACAGCACTCAACTAGAGGCGCTGGCTTGAGACCAAAGCAGGGACAGCAGCTGGGACTTAGCCCAGAGAGGGAGCTGGCAATGGTGTGGGAGTGGAGCAATCTGGGTAGACATTTCTGCAATGGGAGGTGGCAGCTCTTCTCACCAGGCCAGTTCCACAGTGTGGGTCTGAGGGTTGTAACCAGAGCTCAGCCTGGAGCCTGTTCCTCCAGCTTCTATGCTTACATGAGCGACTTAATAAACCCCTTCCGTCTCAGCTAGTTAGTATGGGTTTTATTGTTGAAACCAAGAACCTGACCCCATTTCATTGGTTACAGTATCAGTCAAGGGTTTTCTCTAATTATAAAGTGGACGTATATCTCTGTTATCTGATTTATTTCCTTTAAATGAAAAAAATTTTTGAACCCCTGGCCATCAAGGAGTAAGATTTGCACATATTTATCTTACACAACTTTCTGGTACCGAAGTCCCAGATCCCCAAATTCTGGGTAGCTGACGTTCCTAGACAATTCCTGTAAGTGGTTATAATCATAAAAGCCTCTCGGAGACTTCATGGCACAGGTCCTTTGACTCTCCTCCCCCAGACTGTTTTATGGCTGGGCTGTAAAAAGGAAGAGAGTGAGGAGGAGAGCGGACTCATCCACTAAACCCACACCCGCCCTGTATCCAGCTGATTGCCTGGGTCCTGGTATGTGCCCGTGTGGGATGAGAAAATGAGACTCCTTCCCCTTTCTCCTCTGACTTGACCCAAGCGTGTAGACTTACCAATACAATACTAACCTTTCCACTGCACTCCAGATGTTGAGGAATTTATTCTGTCCCCTATTCTGCCATGAACAGTGGCCACAAAGACCCCCTTGCATTACACAGATCTTTTCTTCCTAAAAACCACAACAGAGCAGTGATCACTCTGAGCAAAGTCAAAAGGCACTGGCAAAATATTTTTCAATTCATATCATAAATGGCTGATGTCCTGAAGTAAAAAGGTCTTGAAAATCAATCAGGCAAAGACCAAAACTATCCCAGAGAGAAATAGGCCAATGGAGAGATAGTTTATGGAAGGAAACAGAAGAGATAGGCTAAGACAGATAGCTCCTCAACATATGCAAAGGAAAAAGATGTGGTTTTCAAATACGATGTTGACATTCCATTTTTTAACCTCTTAGAACGCTACAGACCAAAATGTAGGCCAAACCATGGTGCTGGCAAGAGCTGGCGAGATGGGTATACTTACTGGTGAAAGTATAAACTGGAACTTCTGGGAGGCAAGTTACAATTACACAGACTCCTAACTGGCATTCCAGCCCTGGGAATTTAGTCTACAGATACACTTACACATACACGAATCAGATTATGGACAACTGCAGTATGTGGGTGAGAGCAAAATAAATACTTTCATATGGTCTGAAAGTAAAGAGAACGCAAACTGTATCTTGACCAAATGGCTAAGCTGCCTTCATCCTGGCCTCTCTTCATCCCAAGCCTGTCTTCTGAGGGGATGATCCTTATTAGGATAAGAAGGGGATTCATACAGAGTGCTGCAAACTGCAAAGGGCATGCAGAGCTGCTAAGAGTCACACACACACACACACACACACACACACACACACACACACACACACACACACACACACGATGCTGAGATGCAAAATGAAATAAATACCTTGTTTAGAACAAGGCTTTGTGGGCCAGCAAGGTAGTTCCAGGGTAAGAGCTCAGGTTGCCAAACCCAATGACCCGAGTTTCATCCCTAGGACTCACAAGGTGGGAGAAGAGGAATAATTTCCACCAGCTGTCCATGCAGCTCCTCCCCCATAGCCCCACCTTGCGCATGCGCGCACACACAAAAAGGAATAGAAAATGTAAAGGGGACTGTGCAGTTCAGCCATCCAAGCTCCCCTGGGTTCTGTTTCAAACTAAAGAGGGGCGGGGGAAGAATTTTCTAGACCTACTCACTGTCTTGCCACGGGGACATGGGTGGAGGAAGAGCTGCCCTTGATGAGCAACACCCCCCATCCCCCCCACCCTCGCACCATGGTAGACCTTTTTTCTGCAGAGAAGGAAAGGCTAACCCAGCTCACACAGGCACATGGAGGAACCCCTGTTGGGATCAGGGCGTTTCAGTGCTCTGGTGCCTTTCCCCACAAGAATTCCAGCCAGCCATTGTCTGGGCAGCAAGGTCCCCAGGAAACACTACTCACGATTATATTCCATGTGAATAGCGCCCCTTGAAGAGAGAATAATTCAGACGTTGTCCACTGGAAATGAGAGTGTGTTAGCCCTGCAGGAAAAGGTGTCCTCATTCAAAGGTGAGAAAGAATCGGAAAGGAAACAGCACGGATCTTTACAAAAATACTCGAATCAATGGGGCCAAGCCAGGGGCAACCGGCAGACAACACACAGAAGGGTCTTGCCACGAAACTGGTGAAAACCACGATCAAAATTAATCTCTGTGAACTCTAGGACCTAAAGAAAAATCATCTGTCTGACAGGCACAGATGAAAAGTTTCAAGGGGGAAAAAAAAGTCAAGGCAACCGAGGATGAAAGATGAGTTGGCATTTCCCTCCCGCCCCCCTTGGGAAGAGCTGCGTACAATAAAGCCTTAGATGTATACTGTGGTAATTTTTTTAAGCAACCACACCCATGTAACCAGCCCTCAGACACAGATATGGAGCAGTACCCACACCCAGGAAAGTTCCTTCATGCGCCTTCACAGTCAAATGTCTTCTGGTAGAAGGGAGCATTCATTTCTCTTGGAGAGATAGAGGGTAGATTTTATTTATTTATTTATTTCTAGGTTAGCAGGCAACATAGTGAGTCCCCCTGTAGCATCCTCATCCATACACCTTCATAATTTGTCCTTGTTTGTGCCCCTCCCCCACTGCCCTCTCCCACATTCTCCTCTAGCTGGTTCCCTTCCCAACTTCTGCTTTCTTACAGAATTTCTTATTTCATTACTGTTTCCCTCTGCCCTTAAGATCTCTTCTTCCTTTCTCATGATTCCCTTTCTAATTTAGTGACCTACATACACATATGAAAACACACACATAATATATGCATATATGATTTTAAATCAAAATTCTGCATATGAGAAAAACCATATAAAATATGTCTGACTCTGGCTTGTTTCACTTCGCATAGAGATCTCAAGTTGCATTTGTTTTCTTACAAATGTCATGATTTCGTTTTTTTATGAATCAATAAAATCCCGTTGTATATATGTACCATGATTTCTTTATCCATTCATCTATTGATGTACAAGTAGGCTGGCTCCTTTTCTTGGCTATTGTAAGTAGTGCAGCTACACACATGGATATGTAAATATCTCTGTGTGGTGTGTTCACTTAGCGCAGCTGGTCATACGGTAGTTCTATTTTCTTTTTAGTTTAGTTTTGTCTGTTTTTGTTTTTCGAGACAGGGTTTCTCTGTGTAGCCCTTGCTGTCCTGGATCTCTCTCTGTAGACCAAACTGACCTCAAACTCGGAGATCCACCTGCCTCTGCCTTCTGATTGCTGGGATTAAAGGCGTGTGCCACCACCCAGTCTATTTTCTGTTTTGTTTTTTTTTAAAGGAACTTCTATACAGATTTCCATAGTGGCTACACAAGTTTATATTCCTAACTGCAGTAAATAAAGGTTCCTCACCAAGGCAGGCAGTGGTAGCCCACACCTTTAATTCCAGCACTTGGCAGGCAGAGGCAGGCAGGTCTCTGAGTTCAAGGCCAACCTGTTCTACACAGTGAGTTCCAGGACAGCCTGGGCTACACAAAGAAATCCTGTCTGGACAAACCTAGATAGATAGATAGATAGATAGATAGATAGATAGATAGATAGATAGATAGATAGATAGATAGATAAGGGTTCCTCTTCCTCCACATCCTCACCAACATTTGCTGTCATTTTTCTTTTATTGGAGATAGCCATTGTGACTGGGATCAGATGGAATCTCGAAGTGGTTTTAATTTGCATTTCCCTGGTGGTTAAGGATGTTGAACACTTTAAGTATGTATCTCTCTCTTCCTCTCCCTCTCTCCCTCTCTCCGTCTCCGTCTCTCTCTCTCTTTCACACACACACACACACACACACACACACACACACACACACACACACACAATCTTCTATTGATTATTAGTTAGTCCATAAGCCCATGTGTTGATTGAGCACACTGGTTTTGTGCCGTTTAATTTTTGCAGTTCTTTGTATACCCCAAATATTAACGATCTGTTTGATGTGCAGTTGGAGAAGCTGTTTTTCTCATCCCACGAGCCATCCCTTCACTTTGGGAGCTGTTTCCTTTGCTGTGCAGAAGCTTTTTCTTTTTTCTTTGTTCCACTTTGATTTTTTTGCTGTATGTGAGCTTGCAAAGCGTGGTGTTCTTATTCCTTTCCATTGTGGCTGTTCCTGCGCGTCCCAGCTCACGGTGACCTCATTGTAATTTGGATTTGCATTTCCGTGATGTTTGGAAATCTTTAGTGTTGCTGTTTCTCGGCCTTTTGGCTAAAATCAAGTGTGAATCATGTTAGTGTTTATCTATTATAATGTGCAAAGTGTACACTTTTTAACTGGATTGTCCATCTTTTCCTTTCTGAAATGAAGGTTCTTTATATATTCTATAGAGGAGTCTTTTGCATATATATATATATATATATATATATATATATATACATATATATATTCAATAACTTCTGTAGCCTGTTTAAGAAACCACTGCTTACCTCAAAGTTATGGAGACATTCTCCCATTGTAAAAATGCTTTATTCATTTAACTTTCAGTTAGTTCTGTAACGTCAGTGTATGGAGTAATGCAGGAAATCATTGTTATTATGTTTTTTTCTAGTTGTATAGCCTGTTGGCTCAGCACCGTTGCTGACCGGACTGCATCAATACAAGGAGTAAACAAGGAGTCTTCCTTCCCATGTGCAGGTCTGACTCCGGAGCCCAGAGTGGGAAGCCATCCGACACCGGCTGCATAGGCACTTCCTGTGTGTCCGCATCTCTCCTTCCCGCTGCTGCAAGGACTTCTGTCCTGGCTCCTGGCTGAGCTCCTCATGCAGAGAGACTGCCTGAAAGGAGCTGGTCTGCTTTAATTTCTGTTGCTGGGATAAAACACTGGCCCCAAAGCAACTTGTTGGAGGAAAGAGTTTATTTTAGCTTACACTTCCAGGTAGAAGTCCGTCACCACGGGAAGTCAGGGCCGGAATCTGGAGGGGGAACCACGGAGGAAGGAGGGTCCCTCTCTAGTTTTCTCCCTGACTCACGCTCAGTTAGCTTACTTACACAACCCAGATGGCTGCCTAGGGATGGTACTGCCCACAGTGGGCTGGGTCCTCTGACATCCATTTCACAATCAAGAAAGCTGTCCCACAGACATGCCCATAGGCCAATCTGATGGAGGCAATTCCTCAGCTGAGGTTCCCTCTTCCCAGGTGACTCTAGGTTGTGTTGAGAATAAAACTAATCAGCATAGAGGGTGAAGGTTAGGAAAGGTGGAGGAGAGGGGGGAACAGAGGGAGGAGAGAGAGGACTGGGATAGATTACTCCTCCCACCTTCCCCAGACCTGAGACCCTTACCTGCATAGACCCTTATGTGCATAAACCCTTATGTGCATAGACCCTTACCTGCAGCAGGCTCCAGCTGAAGGAAAGGAGCCACCTTAAACACCAGAGTTAGGCTGTGTTAGTGGTGTCAAACCAATATAAGGATTTTTATTCCTCAAAGTGGCCAGAAATGTAGTGGCAGTGCTTGAATTCTCATCCCAAGGGGACAGACAGCAAAGACTTCCTCCACTGACCAGCTTTAAAGGGATAGCTGGAGATAAAAATAAATCAAGCCGGGCGGTGGTGGCGCACGCCTTTAATCCCAGCACTGGGAGGCAGAGCCAGGTGGATCTCTGTGAGTTCAAGGCAACCCTGGACTACCAAGTGAGTTCCAGGAAAAGGCGCAAAGCTACACAGAGAAACCCTGTCTCGAAAAACCTAAATAAATAAACAAACAAACAAACAAATAAATAAATAAAGTTGCCTCCATGGTCGCAAGACACAAGTCCTGCCTGTTCAAGGAGCCATCTCCACAAAAGAACTCACTTTAAGAGTAAATGCAAAGACTTAAACTTTAGCACACAGATTTCCCATTCCTAACTACTGCTTATCACTAATGATTGGGAAGCACTCGGCAGCTACACGAAGGATAGGGGTTGATGATACGCGTGGAGATCAAAAGGAAGAATAAAAAGGCTGCAAGCATGTGTGGCTTCTATCGCCTACCCACACTTGAAGAAAGCTGTATCTGGTGAGGGAGTGCATGGCGTCTTTAATACCCAGAACAAACAAACGAAAATCAAAGCCGGTGCCCACTGCTCACCTGGCTCACGCTCATAACAAGTAACTTAACTGTAGTCTTACCTCCATTATTCTACGCGTAGGAAGCAGAGTCACTCCTCTCCCCATCGATGAAGACATCTCGTAAACCAAGTTTTCTGTGCCATTCTTAGTTCCCAAGCTGTTTCCCACTGTGCTGGGCACCGGACAACACACTTATTTCTTCAGATCACACGCAAACAAGAATTTCATTTTTTTTTTAAAATCCTGACCCTTCTCCTTTATAACCCCGAGTTATAAAGGTCTTCATTAAACACCAGATCTTCAGCCTAGAGACCGCACAGCAGAACGGTGAACTTATTCTTGGCTTTAGTGTGGCCTTGGGAAGATACGGCAGGAAGCACGCAGAGGTGACTTTCATCTTTCCGGGTGCCTGGCTCATATTCAGGGGTTTTAATTAGAAATTTGTTTGAGGGTTGGGGATATAGCTCAGTGGTAGAGTGCTTGCCTAGCAAGCGCGAGGCCCTGGGTTCGGTCCTCAGCTCCGGTAAAAAAAAAAAAAAAAAAGAAAGAAATTTATTTGTTACAGTGCATATAAAACATTAACTTTAAACTGGGTGTAGAGGCACAGGCCTTTAATCCCAGCACTTGAGAAACAGAGGCAGACGTATCTCTGTGAGTTCGAGGCCAGCCTGGTCTACATAGTGAGTCCCAGGACAGCCAGGGTTACATAGAGAGACTCTACCTTGAAAAAACAAAAATCAAACCAAACCAACTAGCCAAGCAAACAACCAAAAAGCTGTATCCTCTAATTATCATTTACAACAACTAATCGTAACTTTCAAAAGAGCTACTAGAGAGGATTTTCCAGAAGTTTTTCTAATTACCGTTGCTGGCCTGGTACTCAGTATGTAGACCAAGCTGATCTCAAACTCACAGAGATCCTCCTGCCTCTACCTCCTGAGCACTGGGATTAAAGGTGTGCCACCACGCTTTAGCTAAGGAGTACAGTTATTACATGATATTTCTATGTACATCAAGTTTCCCAAAACTCTGCAGTTCATATCATATCACAGACAAGGGCACATTTTCTCAACTATTAAGTGTCCCTCAAAATAAATAAGAAAATTGGAGTCTTCGAGACGGCTCAGCAGGTAAAGGCACCTGCCGTGTAAGCCTGACAACCTGAGTTAGACCCCTAGACCCCACAAAATGGTGGAAGGAGACAAGCAGCTCCACCATGTTGCTGTCTGACCTCCACATAAGCCCCACGACACAGGAGCACACACACACCGTGCACACTCACGTACCATAGCAATAAATGCATTTTTTTTCTCCTGGAGACGGGGTTTCTCCGTGCAGCCCTGGCTGGGTGTGATAGCATAGGCTTGTAACCTCCGGCACTTGGGAAGTGGAGACAGGAGGGTTTCGAGTTTAAGGCCAGTCTGGGCTACATAGCAAGACCCTGCCCGCCTCAACACACACACACACACACACACACACACACACACACACACACACACACACACACACACACACAGAGAGAGAGAGAGAGAGAGAGAGAGAGAGAGAGAGAGAGAGAGAGAGAGAGAGAGAGGTGACATTTTAAGTAAGAAAGCATTATTACATCTACCTATAGATTGGAGAGATCTAAAAGCTTGAAGGCCTCGAATTGGACAAGGCTGCAGGAAGAGGGTTTCATATACTACTGGTGCAAGTGTGAACTGGTACAACTCCTTGAGGGAATCACTGGACAAACATTAAAATGACAGATAGGGCTGGGGGTGGAGCTCAGTGGTAAAGTGCTTGCCCAGCATGGGTAAAGCCCTAAGTTCAAGTCCCAGGAAATTAAAATAGGGTTTACAGGTTTGTTTAAATGTATACTAAAAAAATGATATTTTATGTAAATTATACCTTAATTTTTAAAAAGTAGAAAGTTCATGCTGGTGTCTTTGAAATAAATGCCCCATTGACTTTAAAGAGAATGAGTTTGACCTACCAATATTATGCTGTTAATATTACGCTTAATGAATGTTAAGATATAGTATTAAAAACTGAGGGGACAGATCTGGATATAGTGGCACATATCTGTGACTCCCTAAGGCAAAAGGACCATGAGTTCAAAGGCAGCCTGAGCCACCTAGCAAATTCCAGGTCAGCTTGGTCGTATAGTGAGATCCTGCCACAAAACTAAATAAACAAATAAATGAAAACTTGAGGGTGCAAAATGGTGGATGAAGCATGTTCCTTTTAAGTGACACCAAATGCTGTCATATATTTGGTCATATATACAAGTCTGTATATAGGTATTATGTGTAGAATTATGCACACAGTGACGACCTTTGGGGAGGAAGCCTAGAAGATGAGTGGACTTTCCCTGTACATGTTTTTTTTATTCTATTTGGAATTTTTTATTACGGTATGCATTATTTTTCAAATGTAATAAAACTTTAAACTTGGGGAGATGCCGGGTGTGGTGGTTCACACCTTTAATCCCAGCACTCAGGAAGCAGAGGAGGGTGGATCTCTGTGAGTTTGAGGCCAGCCTGATCTACATAACAAGTTCCAAGGCTATGTAGAGAGACCCCCATCTGAACAAAACAAACAAATAAACATCTTGGAGAGGAATTTCAAGCACATATACCCTTGGTACAAGAAAACACTTCTAGAAATTCGTTCAGATAGACACTCAAGGGCTGGGATGTAGCTAAGTGGTGGAGCACTTGCCTAGCACGAAGGAGGCCTGAGGTTCCATCCTCAGCACTGAAGGAAAAATAAATAAATAAATAAAAAAGATAGCACACCCAAGGTCAAGTTGACATATGGACAGGTTTATGATAACATGATTTATAATGGCTGAGGTTTGGAGTCCGTCGAAATACACACAGAAGGATGCTGTTGAAAGCGTGCATTGTGCAACTGTGACATCCTGAGAGGCTGTCAAAAGGCAGGAAGACGCTCTGTAGACATGAAGATGGACGTGAGTCTACGACTCCTTCAGTGGCCTGTGGAAATGGCTCAGTAGGAATTTCACTTGCTGTGCAAGTGTGAGGACCGGACTTTGGTTCCCCAGAACCCACATAAAAGTTGGGCAGGTTTGGCAGCCACCTA